ATCACTTGAGTCCAGGAGTTTGAGGTTACAGTGAGGTATGATCATGCCACTGCACTCCAGCCTGGGTGACAAAGCAAGACCCCATCTCTTAAAAAAAAATGAAAACATTAAAAAAAAATTTAATTAAAAAAAAAGAGGCTTGGAGAGGGTAAACAACTTCTCCAAGATTCTACAACCCAATAGATATGCACTGAGTATGCTCCGCATGCCCAGCCCTGTGCTGAGGCTGGGAGGCAGAGGAGAGAATGCAGTGTCTGCCCTCAAAGAGTTCAGTGGAATGGAGGCGGCAGACAGCCAGCCCCCACTGTGGCGTTACAGGATGCGCAGGAGGGAGGGCACCTGACCCAGCTAAGGGGCAGAAGCCAGGGGAGATGCTCAGCACAGGCTGGAGGCCTGGGCTGGCTCAGGAATAGGACTGGGGCAGGACGAGGTGACAGGGGACCTGCAAGAACAAAGGCACAGAGGTGTCCCAGAGCCCAGGGCAGACAGGGAAATACAAGCACATTCGGCATTGCTCCAGCACGAAGTGTTGCATCTGGGGAAGCGCAGCCCAGTGATGCAGGAGAGGGAGGCGGGGGTATCTTGATCGTCCATTAAGGAGTTAGGATGCCATGCGGAGTCTCTGAAAAACGCGGGGAGAGGAGGCAGATGGCAGGCCTATTGACAAGACTGAGAAGGGAGCGCCATGAAGGCAAGAACCAAAGCCTCTGCTCACCGCTGCGTTCCTGCGCCTGCTCCAAGCGCATTTGCTGAATGATGAGCAAATCCCTCCCAAAGACCTGATTGGACGTGGGAGTGTGGGGAAGCGGTGTATTGATGACTCCCGAGTCCCTGGGCTGCGTGACTGGGGGGAGGGGGATGGTGGTTAATTCACCAAGACGAGGCACTCAGGACTGAGACAGATTTGGTGACACAGGGGAAAGATTCAGCCATCAATTATTCATTCAACAAACATGTATGGAAGTCTCACTATGTGACAGGCAGTGTCATAGACGCTGGAGATAGAGTTTTGAATAAAACAGACAAAAAGCATTACTCTTATGGAACTTCCACTCTAGTAGGAGGTGGAGAAGGCCAATATCAGGTGGTGAAAAGGGATTCGGGGAAAGAGAAATAGGGAGTGGGGAAGAGGCTTGTGATTTTTTAAAAGGGTGGTCAGAGAAGACCTCAATGAGAAGGTGACATTTAAGCAAAGGCCTAAAGAAGGGGAGGGAGTGATTCATGTAGCTATTTGGGGGGAAAGAGTCCAGGGAAAAAAAAAACAGCAAGTGCAAAGGCCCTGAGGCAGAAAGCAGCCTAACGAGTTCAAGAAACAAGGAAAACAGTGGCTGGAGCAAAGCAGCAGGGGAGAGAACAGGAGAGGGGTCAGGGAGGAATGGGGGCGCCAGGCTGTGTAGGAGCTTGTAGACCATTGAAAGGGCTTTCGCTTTGACTCTGAATGAGATGGAAGCATTGTAGGGTTGAGGGCAGAGGATGACATGATCTGACTTCTCTTTGATCAATATCACACTGGCTACTGAAGGAATAACAGACAGGTGGGGAACAAGGATGAATGGAAGCAGGAGACCAGGGAGGGGGCTGTTGCCATGATGTAGGCAAGAGGTAAGAGTGGCTTAGACCTGGCTCGTGTTGGTTTAAGTGATATTCATATTTTCCAACATGTCATTGTGAAAATATTCAAACAGAGAGCTAAGTTGAATTTTACAGTGAATGCCTGCATACCCAGGAATCTGGTTATATGTTGAAAGAAGAGTCAATGGGATTTGCTGAGCATGCGGAGCCTGTGGGACATCTTGGGTGGGGTGGAGTTCCAGTAGGCAGTGGGATAATTCGATCTGGAACCAGAACTGCAGCCCTGGTCTACCACATCACACCAGAGCCAGAAGCCCATTTTTCCTAAGAAGGATCACATGTTAAGGACACTCTGCTAGTCTGTTGGCACTTAACCTTTATTGGGTCATGAATCCAATAAACTGTGAGCAGTCTGAACCTTTCTCTGAAAATCATTTGTAAACAATTGCAGGGGAAACATGAATATAGACGATAAAAGACAAAAAATGTAGCCACTTAAAAAATACTCAGTATAGGGCACGGTGGCTCATGCCGATAATCCCAGCACTCTGGGAGGCCAAGGCAGGAGGATCGCTTGAGGCCAGGAGTTTGAGACCAGCCTGGGTAACACAGCAAGACCCTGTCTCTACTAAAGATAAAAAAAAAATCAGCTGATCATAGTGGGGCACACCTGTAGTCCCAGCTACTTAGGAGGCTGAGGCAGGAGGATCACTAGAGGCCAGGAGTTTGAGGTTGCAGTGAGCTATGATGATGCCACTGCACTCCAACCTGGGCAACAAGCAAGATCCTATCTCAAAAAAAGAAAAACCTCAGTGTAACAGATCCATTGTGAGTAAATGTTACTATTAATAATTTTTAGTGAACATATGAAGACCCTGTGCCTTACAAGGACATCCCCCCATCTTGTACCCAGAGTCCCCATTTCTCCATCGGCCTGGATGATGGGGAATATGTAGCAAAGAGGGGGACAGTGGGTATCATGTTATAAAATTCGCTGGAACCTGGAGGACGCCCTCCCAGGTACTGCGAGGACGAGGGCCCAAGGCTGGTGCCGACAGGAGGCTCAGAGCTGAGGGAGCCTGGAGCCGGGGGCTGTCTCCAAGTGATGCTTCCCAGGGCAGGGGGCACAGGGGTGGCACCCAGCCAGCTTGGAGCCTGGGCCCTGCCCAGCCTCAAAGCTTTGAGCTCAGGAAATCCGGAGGCAGGGGAGGGGGACTTCATTGCCACAGTCCCCAGCCCTTTAAGACCCCCGAGGCAGGAAGGCCGCCTGGGCCTCACCAGTTTCCCTCACAGGCTCCTTCCTGGGAGGAAGGGGCTGCCTGTGCCCACGAAGGCGAAGGCGCAAGGGAGGGCATGAGGGAGGCTGGGAAGGTGTTGCAATCCCCAGCCCTGGGGCCTGTCGGTGGCTAAGCCATTAACGACAGGGCTGGGGACAGACACCAGACTGCAGCCTGTTTCAGGAACTTGCCTTGAAGAGGAGAGGAGAGAGCGGGAGGCCAGGCGGATGCCTGCCCTGAGCTCCAGTGTGAGTAGGGGGATCCCTGGGGAGGGGCTGAGCCTTGGGCTTGAGAGACACCTGGTGTCCCAGGTCACTCCTCCCAGTGCCCATGTCCGGGGGCGCAGGGCTGGGGCTGGGGATGGATCCTCTGGAACCAGGAGTCCTGGACACTGGGTCTCTTTTTCCAGAGTGGCCCCACTTTTTTGGGGGGGTTGCATCAGAGAAATCAGAAACAGCCAAATACCCCCCTTGGGGACACCAAGCGGGACTCGGGGACAGGCATAATCGTTCTCCCTCTTCACGCCTCTGTCTCTCAGAACCTGTGTCTGCGTGTTCCAGCCTCACAACCTCTCCCCGTCTGCATCTCTGTCTGCTTCACTCCCGTCTCGGTCTCCCCCCAGCCGCTCTCTGGCTTGCTCTCTCTTTGGGTTTCTGTCTGTCTGTCTCGGCGTCTCTCTGTGCCTCTCTCTGCCTCGCATGTATCCCTCGTCTCTTGAATCTTAAACTCGGTATCCAATCCCCTCCGTCTCTCTGGGTCAGCAGACTTGTCTCTTGGACTCTCTTTCTCTGTCTCTCAACATCTCTCCTCCTCCATCTTTGTCTCTGTGAGTCTCTGTCACTTCAGTCTGTGTGCATCTCAGTCTCTTCCTGGCTCTGTTACCCCCTCTGTCTCTGTCTCTCTCTCTGAACCACATCTGGGAAGGCCTCTCCCTCTGTTTATTCCCAGCCCCCTCCTCCCCCCACAGAAAGAATCTCGGGGCAGGAGTAGGAGGAACAGGGGAGAGAGGGGCGTGAACCGGAGAGGGGAGTGTGCGGGGAGAAGGCTGAGTGCCACGCGAGGGGAAGCAGAACGGGGTGTGGGGGCAGCGAGCCCAGGAGGCATGAGCCAGGGGAGACAGCCAGGGTCAGGGAGGGACAGGGGACCAGGAGCTAGAAGGAGGGGTCCAGAAAGGGGGCTTTGAAACTGTGCAGGTGACACAGACGAAAACAAGGCGGCAGTCCCAGCAGGCTGTGTCCACGCAGCCTGTAAGGGAGGCGGGGAGGGGGAGACTAAGCCATGCTGGAGTCCACGAGATGGTGTCTGTCCTGCTCCATGGTTCGTGAAAACCACCGTGGCTCCTGAGCGGGCTCGCTCCACACCGGCACAGTGCTAAGCGCTATTATCATGACCATCTCATCTCATCCTCACAATAACCCTGAGAAGAGAGTGATGTTGTTGTCCTTTTTTCACAGATGGGGAAACTGAGGCCTGGAAAGGTGAAGTAGCTTGTCCGAGGTCACAAAGCCGGTAAGTGGTGGAGCCGGAGTTCAGGTGAGGCGACCCGAATCCAGGCTGGGCTCTAAAGCTCTCTGCATACTGGCCCCCAGTGAGTGAGACCATGCTCCAGCAGCCCTGGTCCCACTCAGCCAGGCGGGGCATGCCCAGGGCTGCTGGGGGGGACCAGGGACTGATGCCAAGCAAGCCAACACCCTGCAACCCAGAGGGAGGATGCCTGGGCCTCTTGGGGTTTGGATGCCCATTCTGGATGAGAGCCAGAGGAGAGGGATAAGGCGGCAACTCACTGGGCATGGGCTGGGCCTGAAGCTGACCCCTGCCAGGGCAACAGGGCTGGGGTCGGATCAAAAATGCATGGAGATGGGAACAAGTGTCCCAAAATCTGGGCCTGGGAGGCTAAATCTTCCCCAACTGGTGTGTAGGGGGGCGTTATAATCAAACTGGTGTGTTGTCCTAAGAAGGTTACCAACCACTGATTAGTAGAAAGGGGTGCTCTGGACATTTGTACAGGTTTCTCACTGCACAAAGCTGCCCAGCTAAGACGTAACTGGAAGCTGAAATCCAGCCTGTTCTCTAGTTGCCGGGACTTAGTATGGGGCTGCATCTGTCCAAAGGAAGAGGAACTTTGCTCCAATTCGCAAAAGGTGACTTACAGGCTAGCAGTCACCAGGTGTCCTGATGCTGCGGCATATATGGATAGACTGGGGCTTTGGGTAGGGCCCCTGCAAGCAGGAGCAGCCCTGGGTATCTGAGCAGTTCTTATTCACACCTCTGCCTGGGAGGGAGAGACAAAGATTCTCCTAGCTCTCTCCCTGCTGAGCATAGGGGATCTGCCGGGACACCACCTGCACATATGTATCCATATATGTACATGCAGCCTGGTCAACGATTCCCACTGATCTGCCACCAAGAATACCAACTAGTGCTAGAGCCCCAAGACCTGGACAGGTACAGGTCGGAGGATTAGGCTGGACACCCACACCAGCGGTGGAAACTTTTGTATACTTCCTAAGACTGGAGCCAGCGCTCCCTCCATCCAGGCACTATCACCATGACCACATGATGCCTAACCCCAGAAGGCCTCTAGAAGTCTGTGTCCAGAATTGGGGGTATATTGGACCCTTTGGGTACCCCAACTGATACCCTCTCAGCCCACTTTTTTCTCTAGCCATCGCTGAGGCACCAGCTTCCTGCTCGAGTGCCCTGACAGCCCTTTGGCTCAGCTGCTCTGCGGAGCTCTCCCTGTCTTCCAGGGAGCGTCTCTGACATCCTTGGCATGGCTTGCCCAGGAGAACCTGCCTGGTACTCATGCACGTACGACCTGGATGTGCTAGGGAGTTAACACCCCAAGGGGCATCCCTTGACCAATGGGGGGCAGGAGCCAGTGGATAAATGTTCCCATCCTCCCTCCCATCCAAGAGATATATTTTTCCTTGGGTGGACAGTTCTGAGGAGTGTTCTACATGACTCATTGGAAGGTTCCAGCAGGATAGAGCCCAAGTTATCCATCGAGGTGATCAGCTTGATGACATAACTTGTGTTGGCTTTCCCTCCTTCCCACATTCATTCTCCCCACTTCCTCGCCTGTTCCTGGGATCTTCCCAAAACAAATCACCTGCATGTAAGCCCTTGTTTCAGGCTCTGCTTTCTGTGGGGAGCCCAGCTTAGACAGGAGGGAAGGGGAAGAATGCTGTTCCTCGCTGCTCCTTTTCCCGCTCTTTCCTGGAAGGCAAGTATAATAACATAATAACAGTAGCTGGCCGGGCACGGTGGCTCACCCCTGTAATCCTAGCACTTTGGGGTGCTGAGGCAGGAGGATCACTCGAGGCCAGGAGTTCAAGACCAGCCTGAGCAAGAACAAGACCCCATCTCTACAAAAAATAGAAAAATTAGGTGGGTGTGGTGGCACACGCCTGTAGTCCCAGCTACTTGGGAGGCTGAGGCAGGAGGATCCCTTGAGCCCAGGAGTTTGAGGTTGTAGTGAGCTATGATGATGCCACTGCCCTCTAGCCAGGGTGACAGAGTGAGACTCTGTCTCAAAAAAAAAAAAAAAAGAAACCAGTAGCCATCACTTGAAGAGTCATTTCCTATGTGCTGGCACTGTTCAAAGTCCTTGACTTGCATCATTTTGAGTCTTCCTCCCGAAGCCCTATGTCGTATAGGCTGCTGTTGCCTCCATTATGCAAAGAAATTAAGGCTCAGAGAGGTCAAGTAACCTGGGCAAAGCTGCACTATAGCAGAGCAAGGACTAAGGTCAGCCCCAAAGCCCATGATCTTAACCAAGCCTTTCTGCCTCCAGGTGAGCATCAAGTCGGCACTATGGCAAGGCGGGGAGACTGCAGCCTGATTAGAGCTGCCCTGATCATCCTGCTGCTCCCCAGAAGTGAGTGTGGCCAGAGGTGGGGGTGTGATGGGGAGGAGGAAGTTACAGGGAGAGATATTGGGGGTGGGTGGGAATCGCTTCCTCGCACTGCCACGCAGCTCCTGGGATTCCCAGAGAATCCCAAGAGACTCAAGACTGAGCCACAGACGTAAGGTAGGGCTCCCACCCTCAGCCCTCCACAGGCAAACCACCACCCAGGAGGAACGGTGAGAGGACCAGGCTGGTCAGCCTGGAAAAGGCCAGTGGGTCCTAGGTCTTGTCTGCAAATCTTTGCTGAGCTATCAGAAGGAACTTCTGGGTGGGCAGTAGAAGGATCAAGGCAGAAGCCACAAGGAGACAGGTTTCATCCTAAATAAGGAAACCCAAGCAGAGCTCTCTGATCATGGAAACTCTATCTTGAGAGGTGGAGAGCTTCTCATCTCCAGTGGTATGCAAGCTGAGGCCAGGACTGATGGGGATGCTACACAGCAGCTGTGGGCAAACTTGGACAGTAATATTTAGGCTTTGCAGGCCACATACAGTCTCTATTGCATATTCTTATTAGTTTTAGTTTTATTTGTTTTTAACCCTTTAAAAATGTAAAAACCATTCTTAGCCAGCAGGCCATACAGAAACAGGCCACCCAGGCCCTGCTGTAGGGGACACAGCATCAGGTGGAGTTCTGAAGTAAACAGCTTTGTGAAGTTCCTTCCAGCCTGAAATTCTGAGTCCGCGAAGCAGTAGGAGCCCCATGCTGAGAATCACGAACTTGCTCTGTGGCCCTGGGCAAACTGTTCTCCTCTCAGGACCTCAGCATCCCCATCAGTAAAACAAGCCCAAGCACACCTGAGAGAGGAGAGAAGGCACTGTGGGCAAAGTGCATGGCTTACTTGCTCATTTATCCAAAATATAGCCAACAAGGTCCCACTCCGTGCCTGGGAATACAGCAATGAGCAAAACAGCCAAGGTCTCCGGCCTCACAGAACTTACAGTCCAGCCAAGGAGACAGACAAGCAAATAATCATAAGACTATAATGACGAAGGGTAGTAAGGGCTCTGGGGAAGCACTGAGGGCTTAGCCTGGTCTGGTCCCCTCACGATGCCTAAGTGTCACCCAGGTGAAAGAGAGGTGGGAGACTGGAAGAAGAGCGCCTCAAAAAGGAAAAACAGTGCAAAGATCCAGAGATTGGAGAGATCGTGGAGTTTTCAAAGAACAGCAGGGATAGGCCAGAATGGCTGGAGCTGAGAGTATGGTCTGAGCTGGAACTGAGGGTTAGGCAGGGCCAGGCCAGAAGGGCTGTGTGAAGGACGTGGGTCTTCATCCTAATGATAGCAGCAAATACCTACACGCCAGGCACTGTTTAAGTGCCTTACATATGTTATCACATCTAATCCTTCCAGCAACGCTAAGGTCAGGACTCTTTTTATCCCCATTTTACAGATGCAAAAACTGAGACACAGTAAGTCTCAGTAACATACCAAGGGCACAGAATTGGCCGGCACAGTGGCTCACACCTATAATCCTAGCACCCTGGGAGGCCAAGGCGGGAGGATCGCTCGAGGTCAGGAGTTCAAGACCAGCCTGAGCAACAGCGAGACCCCGTCTCTACTACAAATAGAAAGAAATTAGCTGGACAACTAAAAATATATACAGAAAATTAGCCGGGCATGGTGGCGCATGCCTGTAGTCCCAGCTACTCAGGAGGCTGAGGCAGGATCGCTTGAGCCCAGGAGTTGGAGGTTGTTGTGAGCTAGGCTGGCGCCATGGCACTCTAGCCCGGGCATCAGAGCCAGACTCTGTCTCAAAAAAAAGGGCACAGAATTAATAAGCAATAGAACAAGGATTTGGGGAGCATATATTCAGGGAAACTTGAATCTATACTCCTGGGTTGCAGTCTTCCAACTTAGCCCAGATAAACTCTCTACTTACATTTAAAAAAAAAAAAGCACCAGGATTTAAACCCAGGCAGGGTAGTTCCAATGTCCATGCTCTTCACCACCACACCACACTGCCTTTCAGGGCAGTGACACGCCATGAAGTGCTGTAATCAAGGTGGGGTAACACAATCAGATTTGAATTGTGAAAAGATTGCTGTGGCTGCAGCGTTCTTATCATTCTCATCATTGCTTTCACCATCCTCGGGGAGAGCGCTGGAGAGGGGACTGGGCGCTATCTGGTGGCGTGCTAGCGCTGGCTCTCAAGAGCCGATTGTGGACATGTCTTCCCCCCGCTACAGTCACTGATGTCACTTCAGTAGCTACGGTGGCAGTATTTACACCACGGAAAGCAGCACATACGACCACTCAGGGTCTGTTTTTCTCTACAGAGCCTGTCGACAAACTTTTGCAGCACGTCACTGTCTCTGTCTCACCCCTATGGCCTCTCACCATCTCTGCACACACCCTTCCCATTCCGGCCCCCAAGACATTCCAGACCCCAAGACCCTGACTCTAGGGCTTCAAAGGTCTAGATTATAGCCCAGCTCTGCCAGGCCAAGGAGTCACGCATGGGCCATTCTCTTCCCCGCCAGGCCTGGAGGAGTGCGGGCACATCAGCCTCTCAGCCCCCATCGTCCGCCTGGGGGATTCCGTCACAGCCTCCTGCGTCATCAGCCAGAATTGCAGCCGCCCGGGTCTGGATTCACGGATTCTGTGGAAACTGGGAGCAGAGCTTCAACCCGGGGGGAGGCAGCGGCGCCTGCCTGATGGGACCCAGGAATCTACCATCACCCTGCCCCACTTCAACCATACTCAGGCCTTTCTTTCCTGCTGCCTGAACTGGGCTAACAGCCTGCAGATCCTGGACCAGGCTGAGCTGCGAGCAGGCTGTAAGTCCCTCCAGACATCTAACCACTCTGCCTCCATGTCCTCCTGCCAATAAAAAGTGAGAGCTATTGCTATAGAGCTCTTGCTTAATAAGCACTTTATGGGCAGGTTATCAGGTAATAGCAGTACCAGTGGGTCCTATTGTTTAGCCCCATTTTGCAGATGAGGAAACTGAGGGGCGGGAAGGGTAAGTGATTTGCTGAAGGTCACGCTCTAATAAGGACGGAGCCCAGATTCATAGCAGGCAGCGTGGCTGTAAAGCCAGCGTGGTAGCCACTACTCTATATGGCTGCCAAGCAAGTCCAACTCCTCAGTCATCGGAGGGTGTCTCCGGGAAGGACATTCCCTCTAGGTGGGCTTGCTCCCAGCTTCTCCCCCATCCCAGTCTCAGCCTGTTTTTCAACTTGTGCCAAGTTGAGGCATAAGAAAAAGACAAAGACCAAGTTTCTTGTTTAAGAAGCAATAATCGTAGCAGCTAACACTGACATAACACTTCATACACGCCAGGCACTGTCCTGAGCGCTTCGTGTGCGGTGAGTCATTTAGCCCTCCCAACAACCCCAGGCGCTAGGTATGTTATCATTTCCCCCGTTTTCCAGATGAGGGTACTGAGGCACAGAGCAATTAAGTAACTTTAGGATCACATGGCCAGTGAATGGCAGGACTAGGGTGCAAACCCAGACGCTACGCTGTCACTGATGAAGGGGCCCGGAGTTGGGAGGGCTGGCGGGGGAGGACCATCAGGCTACTGGCGGTCTGTGCTGCTTACCCCGTACGTGCCTGTAACGTGGCTTCCCCGCGGCTGCCCTTCCAGGGTCACTCTGTGTGGAGACAGGGGGATGGACGAGGTAACCCCAAAGGGACCCATGCAGGGCAGGGAAACAAGGCCAACTGGTCCTAGTAGGAGCTTTCTGAGTGGTCCCACCCAAAGCACTCACATTATTGCCATCCCACGTGCAGACCCCCCCGCCATACCCCACAACCTGTCCTGCCTCATGAACCTCACGACATACAGCCTCACCTGCCAGTGGGAGCCAGGACCAGAGACCCACCTGCCCACCAGATTCACCCTAAAGAGCTTCCAGTGAGTAGGGGCCTCCACCCCAGCCCCCTTCCTTTGGGTCCTCAGGTGAGGCTTGGGTAGGACCATGGGGATGGGGAGCCAGAGGCAAAGATGGGAGGGACAGGGAGCCTCGCCTTCTTCCTCTGCTTGGCACCCAAGCCTGGCCCATTGACAGGAGCTGTCAGACCCAAAAGGACTCCATCCCGGACTGTGTGGCCGAAGACGGGCAGAGCCACTGCTCCATCCTACGCAAACACCTGATCTTGTACCAGAACATGAGCATCTGGGTGCAGGCAGAGAATGCACTGGGGACCAGCGTGTCCCCACAGCTATGCCTCATTCCCATGGATGTTGGTTGGTGACGATGGGTGTGGGGGAGGGGAGAGACCCCCAAAATGGGCAGACCCAGACAGGGACAGAGAGGAAAACACAGGCCCAATGACAGAGAAGGAGACACTGGAAGACCTAGAGATGGGAGCAGAGAAGAGAGACAGAGACAAAGAGGGATGTAGCTGGAGACAGAGAAATGGAGACACAGACCCAGAGACAGGGAAGAGACACAGAGGCAAGGAGACACATTCGTTCCCTCTTTGAGCCAATTGCTTGAAGGGCCCGCTCTGTACTAGGCACTGTCCTCGGTACCGGGGATAGAGCAGTCCATCAAAAATCCTGCCCTCAGAATGTTAGAATCTGGTGGGAAAATAAATAAAACAGAATGTCAAATAAGGATAAGTGGAATGGAGCAATTAGAGGAGAGGGACATGGAGGGGACAGTTGTTACTTCAACAGGTTGGTCGAGAAAGGCCTCACTAAGGTGACCATTGCAAAGATCCCTGGGGGGAATGAGGAGCAAACGCCACATACACAGAAACACGTCCATGGCAGAGACGAAAAGACGGAGAGAGAGAGGAGGGAAGGAGGGAGGAGAAAGAGACAGAGGACAGAGACAGAGAGACAGCGGGGGGTGGAGGGGAAGAGACTGCGTGGGATACAGACCCGGGATGGAAACAGAACGACTAGAACCACAGACAGGGAGAAGAGAGGGAGCTAAGGCGGAGCTCTGCGGGGTGGGGCAGGGAGAGGTTCTGACAACCCCACTCCTTGCAGTGAAACTGGAGCCCCCCATGCTGTGGACCGTGGACCCCAGCCATGAGGCGGCCCCGCCCCAGCCAGGCTGCCTGCGGCTGCACTGGGAGCCCTGGAAGCCCAGCCTGCACGTGAGCCAGAAGTGTGAGCTGCGCCACCAGCCGCAGCTTGGAGCCGCCAACTGGACGTTGGTGAGGTGAAGGGCAACCGCAAGAGCCTGAGCGGGGTGTGGCAGAGGGGAGGGTAAGTGGGTTTTGAGCTGCCCTGGAAGGGCCCAGAGATCCAGGCTCAGAGGCACACATACCCACCAGGAGGGCCCCCTGCCCGCCAAGACCCTTCAGTATGAGCTCTGCGGGCTCCTCCCAGCCACAGCCTACACCCTGCAGATGCGCTGCATCCGCTGGCCCCTGCCTGGCCACTGGAGCAACTGGAGCCCCAGCGTGAAGCTGAGAACCGCCGAACGGGGTGAGTGGGTGACGAGGGGCTGGGAGCAGCCATCAGCACCCAGTCCAGGCCCCAGGCCCTCCCTGACTGGCACCCTCTCTCCTCTCGCTCCGTCCACAGTCCCCATTGTCAGACTGCGCACGTGGTCACGGCAGAGGCCATTGGACAACAGGACAGTGGACATGCAGCTGTTCTGGAAGGTGACTCCCTCTGAAGGCCATCCCTCCCCACCTGAGACCTCCTCCAACCCACATAGACCCCTGCAAGCTGGGGCTCAGGACCCCAACAGGTCTGAGAGGCTTAGATGCATTTATATGTGATTTGCATGCACTTTGCATGTGCCTAGGAAGCTGAGTAGTGGCCTTCTAGAGGGATTACAACACAGCCTGGTTCAGTGAATAGCAAGTGGCTGCTGTGTGCCCCAACTTGCTTCTTCCTGCCCTCCCTCCTAGAACCGGCAGGGACAGAGGGAAAGAGGGAGGGAGGTGAGAAGCTCCATTCCTGTGATCCATCCACCCCACCTAGAGGACCTCCCCACTCAAGACAAGCTGTACATCCCCTTCTCTTTTTGCTCCTGTGCCTGCCACAGCCAATGCCCTTGGAGGAAAACAGCGGCCAGATTCAAGGGTACCTGGTCTCCTGGAGACCCTCAGGCCAGGCTGGGGCAGTCCTGCCCCTCTGCAACACCACGGCGCTAAGTTGCACCTTCCACCTGCCTTCGGAAGCCCGGGAGGTGGCCCTTGTGGCCTATAACTCAGCTGGGACCTCTCATCCCACCCCAGTGGTCTTCTTGGACAGCGGAGGTGAGGGGGCAGCCAGAAGAGCACAGTGGTTAAGCATTGAAATTCAGACGCCAGACTGCCTGGGTTCAAATCTAGTCCCATGACTTGCTAACAGTGTGTCCTGGGCAAGTTACTCCCCCTCCCCAGCCTCTGTTTACTCATCTAGTAGATGAGGATGATAACAGCGCCCACTGAGGGTCGTTGTGAGGATCACAGGAGTAAATGCAAGAGCCTGGCGTGAAGTATCTGCTCAGTATGGGTTAGCTACTATTAGTATCATCAGCCAGGACCAGGCTAAGCTGGTGGTGGTATCTATACACACACACACACACACACACACACACACACACACACACACACACACACACACACACACACACACACACACACACCCCACAGTCCATTCTGCCAAGAAAGCTAAAAGAGAAAGCCCTAAGCTTTTCTAGCTGGAACATCGTCCATTGTTCATTCTCAGGGGATCACCCACCACCACCACCACCCCCAGCTTCTCCTAAACATGGATCCTTACAAGGTGAGACTAATAATCACAATAACAATCACAATAGTTAATATTCCCACTTACTAGCTGTGTGACCTTAGATAAGTTACTTAGCCTTTCTGTGTCTCTCAGTTTTCTCACTGATAAAATGGGGACAATAGTAGTACCTCCCAGTACTATTATTGAGAGTCACACACCTCTTGGGTGTGACTGTTAGAGGACTCAATGAATTGCCGTATATCAAGGACTATGCCTGGCACATACCGAGAACTGCATAGTGTTAGCTATTGTCATTATCAAGGACTACTCCATGCTAGGCACAGTGCCAGGCTTGGTCCTGTTCATCAATTCATTTAATCTACACCAAGACCCTACGAGGTAGAATTTGTATCATCATTGCCATCTTACAGATGAGGAAACTGAGGCTCGGATGTTGACCTACCCAAAGTCATCCAGCCTGTAAGTAGCAAAGCCAGGATTTATTTGAACCCAGGCTTCTGGCTCCAGGGCCTGCACTCTTTTCACTTTCATTCCACCATTTCCCACTCTGTCTCCAGGCCCACCCCTGACCAAACTCTACACCATGGCCCAAGACCCTCACAGCCTCTGGGTGGGCTGGGAGTGCCCCAACCCACAGCCCGAAGGCTATGTGATTGAGTGGGACCTGAGTCCCCCCAGCCCCAGGGACGGCAACAAAACCTGGAGGATGGAGTATAAAGGGAGCATCACGGGGACTCTGCTGAGAGGTGAGGCCAGCCTGGAGGGCTGGGCAGGTGGGCAGGGCTGGGGAGAGAGGGAGACAGGGGTGTCTGACAGTAGGCAAAGGCAACCTGAACCACCCTAGAGAAGCAGATTACCCAGCCTGCCTTGATCCTTCGCTGCTCTCATCTCACATCCTAACAATCAGGAAGTTCTTCCTGCAGTCTAACCTGATCCTCTCTATAGCCCTAACCCTGCCACCTTTCTAGCTCTCTCATCTACTTTTCTTCCCTAATCCCTATCAAATGATCTAAAGAAGAGATTGCAGAGGTTAGCCCTGACTAGAGGTCTGAGGCTGGCTCCTAACCATCAGCAGAGGTTAGCCCCTAACTGAGTGTCTCCCCCATTTCCTCCCTACAGAGAACATCAGGCCCTTTCGGCTCTACAAGATCTCTGTGACTCCCCTATACGAGGATGCCATGGGACCCACTGGGCACATCTACGCCTACTCCCAAGAGATGGGTTTGTTAGACGTCAGGCCTCTTTCTAGAGGTCTCTCCTCCTCCCAAGGCTTGCCTGGGCCCCAGCAATCAGGAATATGAGGGAACATGTCCTTTCTCCCATACCTCTGGCTCTGGAGAGGGTCTTTCCAAATCCTAAGATTACCCTTGCTTACACTGGACCCCTACAGCTGAATGGAAATAGGTGGTGTGGTGACAGACATGGGCAGTGAGTTTGGCAGAATTCAGGGAACAAATCTGGCAAAAATCAATCAATTGCCCTGAAAAAAATGTGTCATGTGTGATTAAAAGCGGACAGAAGATCTGGCATAAATTCAGAGGGTGAGTGGCAGAAATCGGATAGTGAATCAGACAAAATCAGCCCTCGTAGAAATCAGGGAGTGAGACTTTAGGGTCAAACAGAACCAGGTTCAAATCCTGGCTCTGCCACTTATTAGCAGTAGGTGGAATTCAGATTAAATCCCTGGGAAAATGAGGCTTGGACGTGGTCCTCTTGGACTTCCTTTCCTCGCCCACCTGCAGTGTGTCTGGGGAGCCACAAGGGGTCCAGTCGGGCTCCCTGCAGCCCCTGTACCCCTCTCTCCCTGCAGCCCCGTCCCGAGCCCCAGAGCTGCATCTAAAGCACATTGGCAAGACCTGGGCACAGCTGGAGTGGGTGCCCGAGCCTCCTGAGCTGGGGAAGAGCCCCGTCACCCACTACACCATCTTCTGGACCAACACTCAGAACCAGTCCTTCTGTGAGTCTATGCTCAGCTCCCCACAACCCCAGGGCCTGGGAAGGGTACTCAGCAGCCATAGAGAGGCTGACCACATGCCCCCGCTCACAGCAACCATCCTGAACGCCTCCTCCCGAGGCTTTGTCCTCCATGGCCTGGAGCCCGGCAGTTTGTATCACGTCCACCTCATGGCCACCAACCAGGCCGGGTGCACCAACAGTACAGGACTCACCCTGATGACCTTGGCCCTAGGTAAAGAGGGGGGGGGTTGGCAGAGATGGCTGTTGGGAGGGTACCCTGCCCATGGATCCCAGGCTGAGGGAGGGACCCTGCCTTCCTTACACACACTCTAACCTCCTCTGGCTCTGCCCTCATCCCAGAGGGGTCTGAGCTACCCATCCTCCTGGGCCTGTTCGCTCTCCTGTTCACGGTCATCTGCTTCTGTGCGACTGCCTGGCTCTTCTGCAAACCCACGTGAGTCCTTTGAGAGAACCTACCCCCAGCTACCCCTACCCACAGGAACTATGTCCCTTCCAGCCTTCCCAGACCTTGGGGCCCATGTCTGAGAGTCCCAGCCCTCCACCTTCTTCTCTCTGTACCAAGGGGCAGCTGCAGCTCTTCAGCTGCTGGGGTGGGTGGGACAAAGGATGCAAAGACAGGAGGGTATGCCTGACCCAGCCTCCACCTGCCCCTTTCTTCAGCAGAAAGAATTCCCTCTGGCCAAGTGTCCCAGACCCAGCTCACAGCAGCCTGGGCTCCTGGGTACCCACCACCATGGAGGAGGTGAGCACCCTGGAGGGAGAGGGGAATGGGGCTGGGGATGTCGGCCCGGGCTCAAAGTGGAGGGACACCCTTCCGAGGACGAGCACTCAGGCCTTCCCATCACTTCCAGCAAGTTCCCCCACCCCCCTTCAGAATGAAGCAGACTCAAGCTTGAATTCTGGCACTGCCCTCTCAAAGCCTCAGTCACCTCCCTGTAAAGTGGAAAGATTCACCAGGCTGAGTCTGAATGGCATGTGGTCATGTCAGGAACACACTGGTGCTTTGCAAATGGAACCTTTGTGTTCCAGCACACAGCAGCAGGGATGTCCCCACTACTGACCCAACTCAGGAAGGGACAGTAACTGGGGCAGATATCTGAAATGAACCATGCCCTTCCCCCATGTCCTTGTGTCCAGGAGACCTTCCAGCTGCCCAGCCTTCGGGACCCTGGCATGCCACCCATCACCAAGATCACGGTGCTAGAGGAGGAAGAGAAGAAGCTGGGGCCCTGGGAGTCCAGTGACAGCTCAGAGACCTGCCTCCCCACCCTGGTCCAGACCTATGTGCTCCAAGGGGACCCAAAAATAGCTTCTATCCAGCCACAGCCCCAGTCTGGCACCAGCGACCAGGTCCTTTACGGACAGGTGCTGGGCAGCCCCACAGGCCCAGGGCACTACCTCCGCTGTGACTCTACTCAGCCCCTTTTGGGAGGCCTCACTCCCAGCCCCAAATGCTATGAGAACCTCTGGTTCCAGACCAGCCCCTTGAGGTCCCCCGTACCCTCAGCCTCAAGCCAGGAGGACGACTGTGTCTTTGGGCCCCTGCTAGACTTCCCCCTCTTACAGGGGCTCAGGGTCCATGGGGTGGAGGAGCTGGGGGGCTTCTAGGACTTCCTGGGACTCCCCACCTGGGCCTGCCTCTTGAAAGACCTGAGTGAACCAGAGGAGAGGAGAGGGTCAGTAAGCCCATCACTGAAAATTACCCCAGCCCCAGGAAAGGCAGAGATTCCCTGTCTCTCCCAATCTCCAGTCCCCAGTATCCCTCCCCATCCCCCCACTCTCCATAGGATGGGCCTCCCAGGCAACCTGCGTACTTTGAGACTCAGACAATGCTCTGTCCAGCACCACCCACTGGCCTTTTGTGCTTGTTTCCAATAATTTCAGTCTCTCATACTGGTTTTTGGTCTGTGGTTTTGTTGTCTCTGTTCTTTCTCTTTCCAGGGCCCTAGCAGTCAGGGGGATACTTCTCAGAATTGTTCATTTGTTTATTTATTCAACCAGCTCTCACTTAGCATCTAGGCCCTGCGCTGGCAGCAGAGATTTTTAAATGACACAGTTCAGTCCACCCTCAGAGAGCTCCCATTCTTGGTGGTGAGGACTCGAGATCTGAGAATTACACACAGGGAGTCACAGAGTGTGGTGGGACACGGTAAGGAGACCTCAGAAAAGACCCTATTAGGGAAATATGATTAAAAATAAAATCTCCTGCCAATCCAGAAAACCTCTCCACAAGGGTAGAAAAGAAAGAAAAGTTTTATTTTTAAATAAGCACTAAACCAGAATGTGATATGCATCACAACCAATCCACTAGAGATTACAAAGACAGAAAGAAATCTTACTCTTTTATATAGCCAAGTGGATACAACTTATTGCATGCATTTTCAGTAACTCATCCTCGAGTAAGAAGACTTGACAGCACCATTTGTCACACACAGTTCATCTTAAATTCACCTATGTCTGCTAACTGCCTTTATCCAAAGAAAAAATAGATTTCTCCTATCTTTGGAACAGGAGGTAGGTTTGCAACTTGGAGCTAGGTATCAGCCGAAGTTAGGCGCCTACTGTCCCACAGAAACTGAGAGATAGGGCACTATTGTGCTTAATTACTATATTTCAGGACAGGCGCAGTGGCTCACGCCTGTAATCCTAACACTCTGGCAGGCCGAGGCAGGAGGATTGCCCGAGCTCAGGAGTTCGAGACCAGCCTGAGCAAGAGCAAGATGCTGTCTCTACTAAAAATAGAAAAAATTAGCCAGGCCTGGTGGCACATGCCTGTAGTTCCAGCCACTCGGGAGGCTGAGGCAGGAGGATTGCTTGAATCCAGGAGTTTGAGGTGCTGTGAGCTAGGCTGACACCACGGCACTCTAGCCCAGGCGACAGAGCAAGACTCTGTCTCAAAAAAAAACTACATTTCAAATAGATGACTCCCAGATCCTTGAGAAAAACACTGTGATGTTGTAAAACTGGCAAGAGATTTATTTAGCTTTTAAAAAGATTTCCACTTGGACCAGGCCCAGTGGCTCATATCTATAATCCTAGCACCCTGGGAGGCTGATGCGGGAGGATTCCTTGAGCTCAGGAGTTTGAGACCAGCCTGAGCAAGAGTGAGACCCTGTCTCTACTAAAAATAGAAAAATTAGCCGGTGTGTTGGCTCGTGCCTGTAGTCCCAGCTACTCAGAAGGCTGAGGCAAGAAGATCACTTGAACCCAGGAGTTTGAGGTTGCAGTGAGCTATGATGACGCCACTGCACTCTACCCAGGGCGACAGAGCAAGACTCTATCTCAAAAAAATAAATAAAATAAAATAAATAAAAAGATTTACATTCATCTCAAACAAGTAGAGAATTATTCACAACTACAAGTTTTCTAAAGTACACGCTCTAAGAAAAGTGAAGGGGAGGAGTCTTTTCCCTTTTTGCACCAGGGAGAATTAAAATTTATTTTTCCTACTTTTAATATGTATTCGCCCGTACACACCCCTCATTCACAAATGATATCACAGCTACTATTTACTGAATGTTCACCAGGAGCTTTACATACAACTGCTTCGGTTAACCCTCTCAACAACCTAAAAGTCAGATACTGTTATTACCATCCCCATTTGATACAAGAGTACACTGGGGCCCAGAAAGGTTAAGTGACTTGCCCACAAGATCCCGCGTTGAATAAATGGCTGAGTTAGGATTCCAGCCCAGGGTTGTCTGTTTCCAAAATCAGCGACCTTAGCCACCAAGCTACAAGGTTGCCAGGAGACGAGCCTGAAACCCAGCAGCTCTTACAGGGGCCCATCCTTGACTTCGCCGCGGGAGATGGGGTTTGGAGGAGACTACTAGGTTGGACGGCTACTGCAGACTCCACGAAAGCCCCAAAATAACCGCGGCCCGAGGCCAGGAACATATAGAGGGATCAAGGATGGGATGCGTGCCCAAGAAAAAGTGGCATTTTAGAATTTATACAGCACCGCACGCCACTAACCACGCTCCGATCTTGCGCAGCTGCTAACCAGACTTCTGGCTCAACTCAAACCTCCGCGTCATCACAGCGTCCTGCCCGCCAATCCATACTCTCGGTCCTCGTCTGCTCCGGTATGGCAACTGCCTCGATTGGTCGAGCCTGAGCCAGCATGGCGGCGCCTGTGTAAGGCTGTCCGTACCGCGAAAAGGACAGCGGTCGAGGCGCGGGTCCCGGGGGGTTAGAGTCACCATGCTGAGGACCGCGTGGAGGGCGCTGAGTTCGATTCGGACCCAGACAGTGACCCAGGCCCCAGTCCTTGGGCTGCTGGGCAGAGGGAGCGCCACGCTTCCTTCTAGCCAGTGGGACCTGCAGCCTCGAAGTGAGGAGCTGGGAAATGGGACGGCGGGCGTAGGGAAATGGGGTTCGGCAGAGGTAGAGAATACTGGCGGATCAGGGCAGGGAGGAGTACAGCAGCAGGATACTGGGAAAGGGTGGTGGCTGGAGAAGTGAGAAGAGGTGTGAGACACAAGGGGCTGCGGGGGAAGGAAGAAATGGTGCAGCGGTTAGGCGCAGAAGCACATAGACCCTGGAGGAAGGGTAACACAGGGAACAAAGAAAAGAATTGAGGCTGGGCTAAGGAAACGGGCCTCAGCGCTCTCTTTTCTGTGTAGGTCTCTTCCAGGCCGCCCGCGGATACGCCATCCAGAAACCAGGTAGGAGTTCCTAAGGTGGGACTTGGGGCGGAAGGGAGATCGCCTGAAGGCTTGGGTGGCTAAGGGGACGGAGGTGGCGAGTTAGAGCCACTAGGAGTGGGCAGAGGGGTGGGCCTGAGCTCCTTAGCAGCAAATCCCCACCGTCCACCTCACACAAAGCCCTAGCCTGAAGCCTGCATGGGGGAAGGAGTGTGGAGGGCGGGAGCAGGAGCTTTCCCGGTGAATGAAAATAAGCTATCCAGAGAGAATGCATGGCTGGCACCACCTGGGCCTTACTGGAGCATAGCACTTTGTGTCTGCCATTCTGAGATGGAGGATTGTAGTTTCCCATTCCAAGTCAGTATGCGTAGCAGTTAAGATCGCTTATTAGGTAAATGGGGCAAGTTACTTCCTCCCTCTGAGCCTTATTTCTAAAATGAGTGTAAAAATATCCATTTGAGAAGATTGTTAGGATTCAGTAATAACACATGAAAAGCATCCTTAGCATTGTGCTCAATTAGATGTAGCATATATTAGTATTTATTGCTATTAATATTATTCACGTAGTGGCAGAGCAGGGTCTGGAGAGAATAAGTTGATCTATCCCATGCCTCTCTCTCATCTCCAAGGGACAGTGGGGATGTGCACCCCAAGGCGGAGGTTTTCCTGTGGTTTCTACTTGGTACTTAGATTTCAGGCATCCTGAAGCTAGCTACTCCTCCTCAATCCCTTTATTGCATCCATGCAGACAGCCAATAGATGTTTGTTGAGTGCCTGTTCTAGGCTGGGCCATGGACCAGACTGTGGGAGGACCCATTCTAGTGTGGGATCTGATAACTGTAGAGCCAGACAGGTGTTTGAGAGGTTCAGGCACAGTACAGGGTCTTGGGAAAAGCCACCTACTCCCAGAGTGAAGTATCAACACACCCACAGGTTTACACAGGAGAAACTGAGCCCAGAGATAATTGTGCCTTGCTTGAGACCCTAGATGTCTCTTACAGAGTTGGAGAGGGGTGAGAAGAGCCAAGTCTGGAAGGATGGGCCCTGAGAGTTGACTCTGGGTATTTTCTATCCCTCTACCTGACAGTCCAGCCCAGCCAAGACGATGACCCACCCCCTTCCACGCTGCTCAAAGGCTACCAGAACATCCCTGGAATTGAGAAGTAAGCAGGAAGAAACCTACTTGAAGAGGCTGGGGGCCCTGGGAGGATTGGCAGGGAGCAGGGAAAGTGACTTGGAGGCTTGGTTGGCTGTATCCGAAACTCGATTATAGAATAAAGCACAGAGGTGTAGAGACCCAAGCATGGTGAGGGTGAGTGGGCAGCAAGGACACATGGCATTCATGGAGTCAACTACTTGTTTGTTTGTTTATGTGTTTTGTTTTGTTGACTCTAGGTCTTTGTAGAAATCTCTCATCTCCTGATCCTCACAAAAGCCCTATAAGGGAAGGAAGAAATAATGTCCCCATTGTATAGATTATTAACCTGCTCAGTGTCATTCAGGAGCAGTCCAGCCCTGCTAGGGACAGAGCTAGAGTTTGAATCCAGGGCTGACTGACACCAAAGCCGGGGTCCTTCTGCTCAGTCCCTATCCTGTGTAGTGGGAGCTGGGCAGTCCCTCCAGTCCCTCCCACTCTGTGCACTTTGACTTGAAATGTCTCAAGGCAGATTGAACCATGTCCTAGCTAATATGGAAATCCTCCCTGTGATGAGACCGGAACACTTGAGCTGACAGCCCCAATTTTCTGTACTTTTCAGCCCAGCAAGCCAGATCCATGCTGACTTTTAGTCACTGGGAAATGGCTCCCCACCTCCAGAGAGACTTATTTGCTGGAGATGGAATTTTCAATCATCTTTGCTTTTCAAACCAAAATGAAAACAGCATTGCTTCCCCTTCCCCCTCCCTACCAACACCCACCTTTCATTGCTATGGTTTTTCCACAGGGTTGATGATGTCGTGAAGAGACTCTTGTCTTTGGAAATGGCCAACAAGGTGAGCGGCCTGAGCCAAATCTTGGCCACAGCCTCCCTCAGTCCTCTCCTCTGGGATTTCTACCTACCCTGGTTAGCTCCTCCATCCCAAGCTTCTCCAGTCACAGCATTTAGCCCACTGTCACTCTGTGTCCACTTATCAATACCCCCATAATTAGCATCTTGAGGGCAGAAACACTGTTGTTCCCCCGTTGTATCCCTAGCACCTGACAAACAGTAAGTGCTCAATAAAGATCTGATGCATGAATAAATGAGCAAGCTTTGGGGACAGTCACCCAATAAGTCATTTCTCCTGTCAGTGGCTTTGGCCTTGGGCTCACCTAAATGTGAATAGCTGTGTGGTTGGCCGAGGCCACGGAGAGCAGAGTGAAGTCAGGCCCTGAGCCTTATGGGCCCAGTTGCTATAACTGCAGCCATGGCCTCGGGGGCAGGAGGGCTAGTTTTTAGGAGATGGCAGACTACACAGATTTTTCTCTATCTCTGTCTTCAACAGAAGGAGAAGCTAATAATCAAGGAAGAACAGTTGATGAAAAAGGTCGTGGCAAACCCTGAGGACACCAGATCCCTGGAGGCTCGAAGTTCGTTGGCAGCCCTTGGGAAGTGGGGGTACAGGGGGATCTGCTAGCTGGGCCTGAGCTAGGGCTGTCCTCTACAGGCATACTCAGATGTGGCTTGGGAAAGGGAGACACATGAAGGACCTAAAGCAATGATGCTGAGCTCTGATGCTGGAGTCAGCACCCAGGTCCTGCCTTGTGCTTCTGTGTGAGCCTGAGCAAGTCACCAATCCTCTCTTGGAGCCCCTGCTTCCAAGACTGGAAATCAGGGGCTTGGGCAGGGCAGGGCACTACCTACCTTGTGGCAGGATTGGGAGAAGCCAAGAGGATGTAAACACACCTTAGAAACTAAAGCTTATGCTCTGTTATAATAATAGTAAGACTGACATTTACTGAACCTTCATGTGTTAGACACTGTGGAGCATTCCCAAGGGAATAAATAATGTTCCTACTTTGGTTTCGAGCTAAAACTGGCAGTAGCCCTCATTAGATGCAAATGAAAAGCCCCACCACTTCCCCCTTGCTTTGGGGGAAATTTATCTTCATGGACCACTGAGAGCAAGTGAGGAAGATTAGTGTACCTGCATGGGATGGGGTCTGCACATTTTTTCCCCTTTGCCACTGGCCTGTACTACTGCCTCCTCCTCCTCCTCCTCTTCCACCACCATCCTGCCTTCATTCTTTTCTCCCCCTCTGCCAGGGATTAAAGTCTGGTGAGTTCATCTCGGACACAAAACCCCCACGGAGAAGGTATGGAGGCCCACTGCTGGGTCCTCCCTAGCCCCATTTGAGAAGATGAGTTTAGCTTCCCTTGACTCTGCTGAAACCCTGGCCTGGGGACCATGTGCAGCCACAGAAGGGCTGCTTGTCTCACCCCACCTGTTTCTACATTATCACTGCTAAAATATCCCAGGTTGGCAGGAACAGCTGGCCTATTTGCCAAGACACCAGAAAGGTGATAACTAGAGGAGTCCTCTTTTAGCACAAGTATTGGTTCTGCCTTTTCATTAATACTGAGTTTCTGAAAGCCAGTTGCTTTTAGCATACTGTCTGCCCTAGAGAACCCTTCAGGAACCAAAGCCCATCTCACTGTCTTGTTACACTGTGCAGCAAGGTGGTGTGAAGGGGCCATGTGGTCAGGGGCACTCTGCAGTGCTCCGGAACTCAGCGTGTGCTAGGAAGGGTTTGCTATCATCATGGCCTCCTTGAGGCCAGCTTCTGCTTTTGTCCCTATCTTTGTAATACAGGTGGGAATCAAATGAGAGGATGCCTGAAGGAAGGAAGTTCCAGGGCCTTGGGAGACAAGTGGGAGCTGATAATTCTGAAAACTGATTAGTAAAAGGATGGCTACAGGTGGCAGCTGGAAGGGAAGAGGCAAGGAGTAGACCCTTGACAGTTTGGGAATCTGACTGCATTGGCTGGACCTCTAGTGCAATGTTGAATTGTTAGCCATGATAGCATGCATCCTAGTCTAATTCCTGAATTTAATGGGAATGCCCTAAAGCTTTGCCATTTAGAATGCTATATGATTTTTGGATGATACCTTTATAAGATTAAGGAATTTCCCTTCCTCATCTTTGCTTTCTAAAGAAAGATAACCCAAAGTCTTGAGATCTCAAAATTCAGAGTGCATTGGGATTTATAGAGAGCTGTACAGAGCATTAGTGGTTGTTATTCCTTGAGTTCTTAAAACATAACCCAGGCCTGGGCCCTTCCTTCCTCTGTGCCCAACTCTCATCCTCTGTGGTTTGTGGTTTCAGTTGTTTCCTTGACCATCAAGATACGCAATTATGAAGAACACATGCAGAAACATCGAAAGGTAAACCCTGGGCATCATTCAGAATTAAACAACAGGCTGAGCTCGGTGGCTGATGCCTGTAATCCTAGCATGCTGGGAGGCCAAGGCAGGAGGATCACTTGAGGCCAGGAGTTCGAGACTAGCCTGAGCAAGTGCAAGACCCCATCTCTACAGAAAATAGAAAAATTAGCTGGGTGTGGTAGCTGAGGTAATGCTAGCTACTCGGAAGGCTGAGGCAGGAAGATCGCTTGAGCCCAGGGGTTTGAGGTTGCAGTGAGGTATGATGATACCACTGCACTCTAGCCTGAGTGATAAAGTGAGACCCTTTCTCAAAAAAAAAAAAGGAATTAAACAACAGCAGCCCAGGGGAGAGAAGTCTGGGAGGTGAAGGGATCTGGGTCCAGAGAAGCAACTTGAGAAGCCCGGTGGCTACACTACCAGATTGCCCACCCCTCAGCTGCAGTGGGAAAAACACTTCCCTCCTGCCTCCAGAGGAGAAATGGGAGCCTTGCAAGGCTATGCTGAGTGTCATCAGTGGTTAAGAACACAAACTTGAGAGTATGGTCACTGTCTGGCACATACTGGGTCTTCAGTAAATAGTTGTTGAATGCATGAATGGATTCAGATTGCCCTGGGTTCAAATCCCAGCTCTGCCACTTCCACTTAACTAGCTGTGTGACTTTAGGGAAGTTACAGGTCTGAGCTTCAGTTCTCTTACCTATAAGATAGGGATCATAAGAGTACCTGCTCATAGGATTGCAAGGATTAGATGAAATCATCACAGTAGCCAACATGATGCATATAATTCACCACCCACACTTCTAAGGATCTTTTTTGAGTCAGATAACATCTTTGAACCTTTATTTTCCCATCTGTAAAATGGGAATAACACTAGCAATATCCCTCTCAGAATTGTACTAATATTTGCATAAGATTGTTGGGAAATTTCAATGAAGTGATAAAATGACCATCCTTAGTTACCATAAACAGTAGTAACGCTTATATAATACTAAAAGTAACACAGATTCTCTTACAGGACAAAGCCCACAAGCGCTATCTGCTGATAGCTATCGACCAGAGGAAAAAGATGCTCAAAAACCTCCGTAACACCAACTATGATGTCTTCGAGAAGACATGCAGGGAGCTGGGGATTGAGTACACTTTTCCCCCTCTGTATTACCGAACAGCCCACCGCCGATTCGTGACCAAGAAGGCTCTCTGCATTCGGGTACGAGTCAGAATTGCTGCTTTGGTTGGTCCCACAATGGCACTGGGATGGAGGGAACAGAAGGGAGGCATGGAACTGGCCCTAGGGCCTGCAGTGGACCCAGAGAGGTCACAGGCCACCAACCCCATGGAAGAAGGTCGGGGTTACCATCAGGGAAGACAGTTGCCAGCCCATCTGCTCCAAGTCTGAGGTTTTGCATGGTATTACCAGGTCTTTTTCTGCCCCCTTTCACCCCCAGGTTTTCCAGGAGGTTCAAAAGCTGAAGAAGCAAAAAAAGGCCTTAAAAGCTGCAGAAGCAGCAGCTCGAAAACAAGACCAGAAGAACCTGGAGAGCCCTTCCAAAGCCTGACCAGAGACACTCAGAAGAAAACCGATAAATTCTGGGGCCGGGCACAGTGGCTCACACCTGTAATCCTAGCACTTTGGGAGGCTAACACAGGAGGATCACTTGAGATCAGCCTGGGGAATAGCTAGACCCCATCTCTACAAAAAAAAATTTTTTTTAATTAGCTGGGCATGGTGGCACACGCCTGTTGTACCAGCTACTCCGGATGCTGAGCCAGAAGGACCACTTGAACCCGGGAGTTCAAGGCTGCAGCAAGCAATGATCACACCATTGCACTCTAGCCTAAATGACAGAGGGAGACCCTGTCTCAAAAAAAAAGAAAGAAAACCAATAAATTCTGTTAAAATTCTTTCTTTCTTTCTTTCTGCCCTGCAGAATGATATGAGGGAAGATGGGGCTGGGCTCCTTTTGGCCTGAGGAAGAAAATGAATTTATTCTCTCATTCAGCTCCGGGCAGGCAGATTACCTGCCCTCACCTACCAAGGGACACTCTCATGACACGCCTCACACATTCATATGAACTACCTGTCATCCAGGTGGCATGTGTTTCATTGGAGGTGAGACAGAGTACATGGCAGCACAGTGGAAGGGTGGCTGGCTGGGTAGGCCAGCTGTAGGAACTGCCTTCTGGACTGGGCCTTAAGGAATGAGTAGGAATTCACTGGGCAGAAATAAGTAGAGAAGGCAACCCAGGCAGAAAGAATTGCAAGTATAAAAGCAAAGAAGTCTAGACATGCATGCTGTATTCAGAGAGCGGTGAGAATTGGAAATAAAACTTGAAAGATAAGCTGCAGCTGGGGTATGAGAGGCTTTATATGTTTGCTAGGCTAAAAGATTGCACACTCCTGTAGGGAGTGGGGACACGGGTAAAGTTTTAAAACTGAAGGAGTGATAACAATAGTTCTGTTTTAGATGGTTAAGCAACAGCTGTGTGGAGAGTAGATGGGAAGGGAAAAGATCAGGGCAGGTTTATTTTGGGGATGGGGTATTGGTGTTCCTATTGAGAATCTGATAAAACCTACAAGTCCTATCCCCAGGAAACTACATACATAAAGCATTGCTTATAAATTCTGGGGGGTTATGGATATCCCCTTTCCCTTAAAGCCCAACCATCTACATCAAGTTAAGTGCCAAGACCTTGAAGCCTGAGTATGCTTGATATGTCTGTAGGACCCAAAAGGACAATGTGTCTAAGACTGAGTGAGCACAGAGAAGAGTAGGAAGAGATGAGGTCAAAGGGATAGGCAGATACCAGGTGATAAAGAGCTTTCTGGGTATATTCTGCTCAGGTTGCCACAACAAAATACCATAGACTAGGTGGCTTAAACAGAAATTTATTTTCTCACAGTTCTGGAGGCTGGGAAGTCCAAGATCAAAGTACCAGCCGATCAGTGGTGAGGCCTCTCTTCCTGGCTTGGAAAGGCCACCTTCTCAGTATGTCTTCACATGGCCTTGCCTTGGTACATGTACTGAGAGGGAGATCTCTCTCTCTCTCTCTTCTCCTAAAGCCATTAATCCCATCATGAGGGCCCCACCCCCATGGCCTAATATACTCCTTATTATTTCTGAAAAGCCCCATCTCCAGATACCATAACATAGCAGTTAGGGCTTCAACATAAAAGTTTGGGGGGACACAAACGTTTAGTCCATAACACTGGAGAAAAGACTTTAGACTTCATTCTGAGAAGGGGATCCAATGAGGAAAGCCAAAAAGGGAGAAAGATGTGTTAAAGTGCTGTGCAAAGAGGAAATAGATCTGGGATTCGAGTAGGGAGGTCTGGGGGTTGTTAGGGTGATTAAAGCCATGGGTGTGAGTGAAATTGCCCAGGGAGGGACTGTGGAAGAAAAAAGGGCCAGGTCAGAATGCGAAGGATGACCCCTAAGAAGCAGCTGAGGTGGAAGGGAAGGTGCAGTGAGGATAGAACAGAGAGCCTGAGATTCTGCAGAAACAAGTGAGACAGGGACTCAGAAGTGAGAATTAATTTCAGATGTTTCCTCCATGGGCAGGACTTCTGAATGGGCAGGACTACTTAGAAGTGTTTTGCTAGAGGGCCAGGTGCCAACATTTAGGGGGCTAGCAGAAGGGAAGGAAAGAAAAAGGAACACACATTAATGGATCAGGCCCCACAGGGAAGGTGTTGTTTTAAGTGCTGCCTTAGGCATATTATCTTACCTAATATTCAAAGCCACCTTTATTCCTCACATTGGCTAATTATTCTCATTTTACCATGAGAGGTCAAACAGCTGGTTAGAGACAAGTCTAGAATTCAAACCCATATGTCTTGACTCCAAAGTCCATGTTCTGTCCACTATGCTACACTGCCTAGGGACAAAAAAAAATGGTTGGAGAACCCAAGGGAAGAGTCTAAGCAAACTCAAGATGCTTTCAGGAGCCAGGCAGGTAACAAATGCTTGAAAGCCTGGCATAAGGTAATGATGCTAAGCTGTATCCTAGTTATATTCCCTTTTAAAATGGTGCACAGACCAGGCAAAATTACCAAAGAAAGCCTTGGGCTGCCAGCATTCAACTATTGTATAGTCCTGGTGCTGAGATGTCAGTTAAGAGAACCAAAAAGTATTCATGGCGAAGCAGTTTCAGTGGGGTGGAAGGAGCTCAGTCCCAGTTATAGTGAGGTGGGGAGTGAGGCTGTTAAATTCAGGTTGTGAGTGTGCTACTCTTTCAAAAAAAACTTGGCTAGAGAGGAAGGAAAACAGACAAGGCAGGGTGTGGGATGGAGGAAAGGACTTAAGCTTGACTTGTGTCAAGGACTTTCTTGTGATGTGGGCAAGTTGCCCACAGAGCGGGTGTTTCCCATGATCTCACTGATTCCCCTCAGCAGTCCTATGAGTGGGGTGTTACATCTATTTTACATAAGAGAAAGCCAAGGCTCAAAAACCCTGCCCGAAGTCACATAGCTAGGAAATACCGAGCCGTGATTGTAGCCCAGGTCCGTCTGACCGAGTCTGTTCTAAAGGCGTTTTGCTTGGGCTCTCCTCTGCCATGGGCACCCGGGGCCCCAGGCCCCCTTCCTCCATGCCCAAGTCCCGAGCTGCGGGTTGGCTGTGCCAAGGCCGGGCGCCAAAGCTGGTCCCCAGACCTCCCGGCCCTAGCCCTTCGGAGGGAGGTTTTAAAAATTCAAAACCAGCGCTCCCTAGCAGAGCCCAGCGTCGCGCCCGCGCCCGGCTCAGACTAATCCACGCGAGGCGGTCCTCCAGTCAGCCCAATCAGCACCCTCTCTCAAGGCACCTCCCACCAAACCGCCTTCTGATTGGCTTCCTTTTCCCGTCGCGGCGTTGCCCTAGCAACCAGACTGCTGAGACGCGGCGGCGGGGCCCCCAGGCCGCTGGCTGCCTAACCCTGAAGCTCTTCACCAGCCCTGCTTGCTTCCAGCACCATGTCAATGCGAACGCTACCGCTGCTCTTCTTGAACTTGGGCGGGGAGATGCTTTACATCCTGGACCAGCGGCTGCGGGCGCAGAACATCCCGGTAGACAAGGCCCGAAAAGGTGAGAAGCGCCCGGCCCCAACAACCAGACCCGCACCCCGCAGCCCGGCCCCTTCGCCACCGCCCTAACACCCACAGTCAGACCCGCACCCCTGCACACTTCACTTACATCCAGGGATCTTTCTCCCAAGCTACAGCCCCTACTCAGTTGGAGCCCCTCAGGAGTCATATTCTCCAACAGATCTTTTCACTGCAGAGGAACTTAATACCTCCATTGGATATAATTAGGGTGCCTGATCCCTGCTAGCTTGCCCGTCTCTTCAAATGGGAGAGGTTATTTCCCAGTCTCTCTTGACAACCAGTCCCTTCCAAATGTAGGAGTCCCAGATGCCTACCACCCGGTAACGTACCCTTTGCTAGTCCAAGCATCCTCTTTATCCCCAAGGAACAGGTTCTGAGTCTCCATTCCTCTATGTAGCATCCTCTCACATAAGCTGAGACTGTGGTCTAGCTCATCTCAGAAACTATATCTAGAAATGTGGGGTTCTAAAATAATATAAATAAATTTAAAACATAAGAAAGTCTTTCCCTTCACAAGTGTTAGAAGGGAATGCAATTGTGAAAATAATTACATGAGAGCTTCTAAAATGCAAAGTCTGGCTCCCATATACACCACATCTAATCCCCAAAGAATGACCACTCGGAATGTTCTGTCACTCTTTTCCTGCCTGTTCAGCAAGTAACTGCTTTCACCAAATTTCTAGGATTCAGTATAAAGGAAATATTGTATTTCAAGGTAGAGGAGAAAAAGTTGATATAAAGACAATTGACATGGCCACTGATTAAAAACATTCTCTCCAACAGTCTCGGTATGCTCAATTGATGTTAAACTACATATTCAGATGTTAAGAATACACATCCAGACATTAACTGTTGTGTCTGTGTGATTAAGTCCAAGTCTGCGCATAGAGAGATTATCCCTGTAGCATACCCCCTTCATTCATTCTGCACACTGCTGCTTTCTAAAATGCAGCTCTGTCCATACTTTCCCCCACTTAAACCCTTTTTCAGCTTTCTGCTGCTGTCTGGATCAAGTCCAAGCCCTTGTGCAGGACATTTCAGGGCCCTTCCTGATCTGATCTCTCTTCACCTCCACAGTCCCATCTCCCACCACTGCCTGCCTTCTATTTTGTATCCCAATAATACCAAACTGCTTGTAGATCTCCACTGAAACCATGTTCGTTCATGTTTCCATGCTAGTAATTCCCATCCCTCCATTCTTCCTCTTCCACCCTACACTATTCATCTTCAAAATCAATAATCTCCTTCAGGAGGCCTCCCCCCATGGGGAAAGGGCCTACCCATACTCTCACAGCACCCTGTGCTCCCATGCATTCCATTTGTGTCTCTCTCTGCCTTATCACTGGCCATTATACTGAAATGATCTGTATATGTGTCTGTCTCCCCCACCTGATTGTCTTATTCATCTTTGTACTCCAGCACCTAGCATAATTCCTAGACCAGGATAAATCAGTGTTCAGAAAATGTTTGTTGAACTGATGATCAAAATCGGCAGTTTTATATGGCATTGTCATTTCTTCGAGAGAGAATTCTGCTTTCCTTGGTGCCTATGTGATCTGATTTCATTCAAGCTAATGGCACTAGTGAGGTGACAGGCCAGGGTTCTCAGACTGGTAGTCTGCATCTTGGAAGATGGTGTAAATTAGCAATTAAGAGCATACTCTCTGGAGTCATACAGACCTGGGTCCCAATTCCAGCTTTGCCATTTAACTACTTGCATGATGTTGGGGTGTAACCTCTGTAAGCCTGTTTCTTTCTCCATAAAATGAGAATAATAATACATATCTTAAAATTGTAAGAAATGAATGAGATAATGTATTTAACATGTTTTGCACAATAAGTAATAGGTATTATCTTTCAAGAGGAGATCTGGGCAAGACCCTGTGAATACTAGGGGATGGTGTTGTCTTTAAGAGCTATGGTCCTTCTGGTTTTGCTCGATTTAGCTTTTGGGAGTTTTAACCATCTTTAATAATTCACATTCATTACACTCATTGATTCCATAGTTTTTGGGTGAATGTCAAACACCGTGTGAGATACTGGATGGAACTTGATCCAGCCCTTCCGTGCATTCAGCACGGCTATTGATCCACTCCAGTAACTGATTCTAAAACTGAGGGATATATCTTCCTGATGACGACAACAATAAAACAATAAAAAATTAAACACCATGTACTAAAGACTTCTCTTAAACACCTTAACCCTCACAACCATCCTATCCCATAGGTGATATTACTGTTCCCATTTTATAGGTGGGAAAACTAAAGCTAATTTGCCCAGAATTACATAGATGGTAAGAGGAGGAGTAAAGGATTTGAACCGAGGGCATCAGGCTCCAGAGCTCATACTCTTAACCGATTTCTGCCCTCAACCACTGCATTTTGCTGCTACCTGAGGGAATTATATCAGGATCTTTGTCGGGGTTGGTAGGTCAGGAAAAGAGGGAGGAGTTTGAAAAAAATATCCAGCGTACCCACTGATTTTATAAAAGAAATGACAGAAAGTAGTTGGCTGATGGGGACTTGTAGAAGATAAAATGAGAGAGCAGGGTAGGAAGCTTAGGATTCAAAAAGCTGAAAAACACTCATCTATTCCATTCTGCTGTTTAGAGTTGGTGTAGCTGCAGGAATGGGAGACACTGTAACAGATGCCTGTACACATAGGCCTGTAACGCCAGACATGGTAAACTAGTCCTTGCTGAAGCTTTGAATGGAAATCATATTTCTTCTAGATGTTTTCATTATCTTACACAACTAATTGGTCTCCTGGAGGCCATCCCTGTTCCCACAAGGCCAGTGCAGATGTTGCAGTTTCCCCCGACAGTGCAGCCTCTAGTTTGGCATTCAACAGAAAGGAAGTGCTCTCTCTATGGGGCAACTTTTAAGTGTTGCATCGTGAATGTTGTCCCATGTTTTAAGCAATAGTGAGAATAATAACAGCTACCTTTGCCTCACTCCCATCCTCTTAAAAATTTTCATAAATAAGAGCCTATTACATTTTGCTTGCATTCCTTATTTTACAGGAATGGGGCCATGAAGTGATTTTTCCAAGACATGCAGATCACAGTGTAGTACTGAGCAACCAAATGGCAGTGAGGTTCTGTTTTTATTTCTAGAGAAATAGAATTTAACAACCAGCGCTGGATAGCCTTGGGCCTACCTCCTATTCAAAATATAACTAGAGTGGAATTGTCACAAATAAGTCATCTGCAGAAGTAATAGAAAAACAGGGTGTTTTCCTTCCCTGGATCCTCAGGAAGAAAGGAGTGGAGAGCACACAGCACTACAGAGACCCCTGCTGGTGCTGAGCCTGGGTGCCTTCCGGAGTACCTCAGTACTCCTGGGTATGCATTTGCCAGCTTCATTTTATCAACAACAGGTAGTCACTGTTCCTCAGAGGAGATGAACCCCTCGCAGTGCCACTGTTCCCAAACATACCCTCTAGAGGATCTTCTCTGAATTCCTATAAGCGTATCACACTAGATCACCAGTTAAATAAATACTGCAGGAAGATAGAAGATGCAGACATTATACCAAAGAAAACAGCATCTGCTTTAAGTAGGCTAGACTCCTGGTGCTATTCTCCCAATATTTTCTCTCCAAAAGCCCATGGTTCTTGGGAAAGAAAGATGGTGAATTTTCCCAGAGGAGTCTGACCTTGCAGTGGGAATCCTTTGCTGTCAGTTCAGGCATGGCACAAGGCATGCTTTCAAACTAGTCTCTTGGGAGCTGTTGGTATTGTAGATTAAAGCCATGTGCCAGTTGTTTATTGAAAGCATGTATATACTTTGATTATAACTTCGGAAATCACCCCTCAAACAATCTAGTGGCAATTGTTTCCAAAGGACACCATTAATTACAAAATGTTTTTTAAAATGTGGATGTGTCCAGAACTCTTTATCTGGGCATGATTTTTCTAGATTGAAATCTCCCCAAAAAATTAAGGAAAAAAAAAAGTCATCTTCCATCCTTTATTGGTGGTATCCAATGTCCTTCAGCAGAAAAAGCAGAACTAGAAGAGAAGCCAAGTAGTGTTTGACATGTATTACCCATTTATCCCTACAACAACCCTATGAGGTAGGTGCTATTACGAGCCCCATTTCATAGATGAAAAAACAAATTAACCGAATTGCTTGAAATTTAAATGGCTAGTAAGTGGTAGAGCCAGGGCTCAACCCATAAAGGATCTTGATACAGATTTCTCTAGCCAACTGCATTTTTCCTTATTTAGTCTCCTTTTGGGATCTGCCTGACTACCTTTGTCCTTAGGAGCTTTCTTTACAGTGGTCCCATCACTACTTCCTTCTTTTTACATGGAATTCACACATCTATACAGAAAAGTAATACAGACATAAATATTGACATATTTTCATTTTAATTCACAGTTCAAGTTTTCTAATTTGAGCAGTTTCATCTGTACTTTAGAAAGGGAAATCTTACAGTAACAGGAAATCAGATTGTATACAAAGAAACTCCTTTCTCTACCTGTTCTTGGAATTATTCTTTCTTGTGGAGGCTAGTGTCTTTTTTTTTTTTTTTTTGAGACAGGATCTCACTATGTTGCCCAGGCTGGTCTTGAACTGTGGGTTCAAGGGATCCTCCTGCTTCCCACCTCAGCCAAGTAGCTGGGACTCTGTGCCCAGCTTGAGGCTAGTGTCTTTTTTTTTTTTGAGAAAGAGTCTCACTCTGTGTAGAGTGTAGAGTGCCATGGTGTCAACCTAGCTCACAGCAACCTCAAACTCCTGGGCTCAAGTGATCCTCTTGCTTCAGCCTCCCGAGTAGCTGGGACTACAGGCATGTGCCACCATGCCCGGCTAATTTTTTCTGTATATTTTTAGTTGTCCAGCTAATTTCCTTCCATTTTTAGTAGAGACGGGGGTCTCACTCTTGCTCAGGCTGGTCTCGAACTCCTGAGCTCAAATGATCCACCAGCCTCGGCCTCCCAGAGTGCTAGGATTACAGGCATGAGCCACCGCGCCTG